AAAGGAATTTATGTGCCTTTACTTAGTGGAAATTTTAAATATTAAAGAATTAAAACACTGTACACTGGTGCAGACCTGCCTGGTGATTAAACTGAAAGGTTTACTGTACATTTTATATACACATATGAAAATGGCATAATGAAATCCACTAAAAACTGTTATGAGACTGACGCGCTGCCTACTGCGCTAAGGAGGCAACCCACTAAAAACTGTTAAAAAGGAGGTAGAGGAGTTAAGAAAGAGTAATACAGATGAGGTGAATTTGATCAAAGTACATTACATGCATGTACCTCTTTGTACAATTTATGCTAATACAATTTTTAAAAGATTCAAAAGTTTTGACTTTCTGATTGTAATGAACCTAAAAATCTTATTGACTTCAATTTAAATTGTCTGGAAAAAGGGTTTTACCTATAGAACATGGACAAGTTTTTGTGAATTTAGGAACCTATATGTATAATTCAATTATTTTGATATATACCTATACGTTTTTCCTGAGTCTACTGCTGAAATTAGTTTTTCAAAGGCAATTAATGATTCAAAATAATAATAATTACCTTTAAAATATATACAAAATTTCCATTTTTCTTCCCATATATAAAAACAAAAAATTAACTCATATTAGCAAAAGAATCACAACTTAAAAAGTATTCATAAAATCTCAATTTCAAAAGTATTTACCTAATGTTCTTATTTCAATTTAATCTAATATAATTTAAATATGGTTTCATTTTAAAAATTCTATCCATATACTTCAATTAATGTTTTTCTTTGAAGAACTAAATCCAATTAGAAAAAAAGTGTTTTTTATTCAGAAAATATATATTATTTTTTAATTAGAAGATATTTGTTGCTATGATCTTAACTTCCCACACTATTAAAATTCTGTGCATGAACATCTTAAAAACTCACATTTGTAAATGTTCCATACAGTTCAAAAACCTCCAAATGTGTGGAAACAGCATTTGCCAATTCAAATTTATACTGTTCTATCAAACTCTGATACTTGGAGACATCTCCACATTTTTTAATCTTTCATTTTTCTTTTCTTTAGATCTAGAAGAGAATTAAATAGAAATATTCCAAAAAAGAGTCAGAAGAGCATAACTCATCTGAATGTTTTAAATTGAGTCTATATTTAGAATTTCTTTTAAGATGATACCAGAGTATATTACTTGATGTGTTTTGTTTTCATAGCTAAATCACTTATTATAGAGTAACTATTTTAATTCTAATCAAAAGACAGATGTTAAATCAATAGCCAATACCAGCCTAATTTTACCACTTATTACCAAACAATATTCATAATGGTTAGACATGTTAATGTTTGCAAGGGTGTTCCATAAGCTATAAAACTCTTATGGATATAAGAGGATTTGATTATCCCTGGAAAAGACTGTCTATAGCGTGCTACAATGACAGATTTTTTTCAAGCTATCATTCCTGGTCACTTATGTGAACACTGAAGCTCCATTTAAAAGTTTAAACACTTAAGTCTTCACATTCCCAGAGATATATTTTACAACTCTCCTTCTTCCCTCACATTTATGCCAATACTTTGTTTCAATTTGCTGATTTCAAAGCAAGTTTAAACATGAAAGTTTAAATACACAAGTCTATCCAATCCTTAAAACCAATCTGTAGATAAAAGCCAGTAATACTGCTTCCATTTTACTGATAAATAATCCAGGGCTTACCCATATTACACGATTAATAACTAACTGTCTGAATTTAATCCCATCCATTTACAGTGTCACCAATATAACTCTACTCTGAAACTTCTCTTTCCCTACGTGTATTCCTGAATCAAAATACCTGTATAATCTTCATTCTTATGTTACTGCCTAAGAGAGACTGTAAACCTCAATGTCAACTTTTGGATGGACAGAGGTTATGGTGGAAAATATGATGGAAATGAGACAAAAAGTGACTGATTCTGTTAGCTGAAGTAGCTTGTCAAAGTTTTTATGCAGATTATTGAGGAAGAAGGTGTAGAAAATGTGTTAAGTAAGACTACAGAACATTAAAAAATTACAACAGCCCACATTACTCAGTAGGAGCTAGGTTTAGTCAATGTAGAAGAGATTTAAGTATCAAAAAGCAAATACTAAAGTGGCAACGTAACTTCAGTTTATTTATGTCCGCTAAATTTAATTTATTCTTTTATTTCTGGGCACATACCCAATTTTTCCTTTTTTATGTATTTAAATCCTCTTACATATAGAACAAGTTAATTAGGATTTTGCGTATTCCACTATTACCATTTTCCTTTGTGATTTTTAATTTTTTTTTTTTTAGTACTGGGAATTGAACCCAGGACCTTGCATATGCAAGCAAGTGCTCCACCACTGAGCTATTGCCCCAGCCCTTTTTTATTTTATTTTGAAGCAGGGTCTCACTAAGCTGCCAGGCTGGCCAGGAGCTAGTAATCCTCTTGCCTCAACCTCCCAAAACTGGGATGACAGGCATGTGGCACATACGTGGTTTTCATTTTCTTTAAAAGGAAATGTATCAGCATGTGATAAATTAATTCCTCAATAACAGATGCACTATTTAGCATAACTGTCTCAGGAACAGAGAAGATAAGATTTGCAATCCTGCTCAACTCTACCTGCCTGTAATAGTATACAGCATACTTACATCAAAAATGACTTAATTTTTAAGTCATTTTAATTACTTAATTTTAATGACTTAATTTTAATTTTGAATAAACTCAGAAAATGAAGCATTCAATATGGATGCAAAAAAGCAGAATATGAAAGAAAGGAGGGAAGATGGAAGGAGGAAGGGAATTATTTTAGTACATTTGCAGTATTAACTATTCTGGTCCTCATGAAAATGTCAAAGTTTCTGTTTCTCAATAATCAAATAATCTTATATTTTTACCTGATACTAAAGAAAGAGTTTTCAGAATTCATATGTAATGTAGAAAGATCTTTTAAAATGGAATGATATGAAGAATAAAATTTATTACCTCATTTAGAATAAAACCTATCAAGAATACTAATTCTCACAGAACTTTGTGCCACATATAAAATTAATCTCAGCAATTTAATAGTTATTCTGTGATAAGCCATTTAATACTAAATTTAAGACTAATACAAATCTAACTAGTTGTTGATACTACTGGCGTTGAAAAAGAAAAATGAACAGTAGGAAAATTATTTATTTTAATTACCTGTAATATGCATGTGTGATATTTGAAATTTTTTCTTAATTAAAAAGCCAGCTTTATATAAATAAGCTCATAAAAACCAACTCAATGACAAGTTTCTGTGATGACCATGTGATTACTCTGGCTAATGTACACTGAAAGAGACAATTATTAAGCATGGTATCAGCCTATCTAGTAAGCACTTAGGAATTTCTTGGTGCGAAGCTACAACTTTGATTTGTTCTTTGAAATTCCAAATACTCTATCTACAAGCACAGTACACTAAAAGTACGTTTTTATAACTTTTTTCTTTTAACTACGAGATCATAAATTTAACAGCATGGCATTAGCATCTTACCACCAAAAGTTAAGTTTCTCACCAATACCAAAGTTATGCTACCATGTCTGTAAACTACCATGAAAACTACAGAACGTGCTTCTCTAAAAACAGATACTAGTTCAGTCACAGTCTTGTCTAATGAGAAGCCAAAGAGAATATATGAAAATAAGCTAACTGGCAATTCACAAATCAATAACTTTAAGAACAATAATAACTGGATTAGCATTAAAACAGAAGTACTCTTTCTATACTCTTGCATCACACATAGATGCAGTGGGGTGTCTTCATAGTGAAAAGCTTCTCTTGGCCAAATGAGAACCAAGAGAGCCAACTGCTGCATAACCTGACATCTGGGAGCACTTCACCACCACCATCTCCCTACCATCCAGTGCATTTGGCAATATCTGGAAGCAATTTTATCATCGGTACTAGGCAGGCTAAAGTCAAATATCATGACTAAACAAGATTTCTCTGTCTGCCATCCAATTCAGGAAGCTTACTTACTGTAAATCAATCAAATCAAATCTACAAAATGCCCACTGTTTTTAATGGAGCTATAGTGAAAGAAAATGTCAAAGCATCTGGTAAATAAAGTCCTGGAGTTGTTAAGCCACTAGATCCCCTCCCCCAAATCCATAGGCTTCAGCAGGAGCAAAGGCAGCATTGCTCCCAGAGAGGAAACACTCTAATGCCTTTCAGGTTAGGGTCTGAGAATGGCAATGAGAGGACATGTGCCAAGAGAGTAGAACTAGGGCTAGCTAGTCTAAATGAGGAATTTGTTCCCTAGGGGAATTGTCAATTCCCAGTGAACCTGTACATTGCTTCTCTTCTCTCCTTTCTAGACGGTGGGCCAGTTGATCACCTTTTCCTATGGCACCATACAAGGGGAATGTTGCAAGTGTTCACACTGACCACATATCACATATGGCCAGACGAGGGGAATAGGCAGAGTTCTGAGAGAACTGCCCATCTAGTACTGGAGACCTTCAAGACCTGCCTTAGGGTTCTGACCTTAGGGAAGGAGGAGGTTAGGTGTGATTAGGGGTGGGACAGCCAGTAGTAGAGATATTCCTGAAAGTGTACACTGTGGATAAAATATTATGTTAACCATCAATATACGCTATAGTTTGAAAGACTTGCTCTGGCAAAGAGCAAGAAACTAGACAAATTAAACTGTATTCAAAGCTTAGGAAGCTGATTATCTGCATTAACTCCCTCTCCACTTCCACAATATAGCTCATGTTAAATATACAAGGGAACCAATATTCTCTACACACTTCTAATTGTAGAAAATTATTTTCAGGTCTCAAATATCTAAACATTAAATAACCCTATCTTTAAACACTAAACCTGAAAAGCCTAAAATCTAAACAATAATGTACATGTGTATTCAAAATGCAAATATACTCATGTTTCTGCTACTATCAGTAGAATGAATGGCAATTAATTGACATATGCAAAGTTACAGATACTGTGCTTTAGGGCAAAATTCTATATTTTCCATACCATTTTTGTAAGTAGTCCAGTGCCTCCAAACGAGCACCAATCTCAAAAGTGATTCCAGGACGATTGGGGGGCTTTTTACTCATCTTGAGATCTTATTCTTCAAGATTCTCTTTTGACTACCTCAAGAGGAAAAAAGAAAGTTAGCTTCCAATGCATAAAATGCATAGGGAATATAGTGTAATGGAACAGGCAAAATTTACATTAAATAATTTTTAAAACAATATATGAGAAGTCAAAATACCTGCCATTTTTTAAAACAAATTTTAATGATAACTATCAATATCTTTAGGTAAAATAATGTGCAACTTGCAGCCAATCTAGACTAAAAAATCAAGAAAAAGGATATAGAAAAGATAACTAGCTAAAAAGAGTAAATAGATGGGCCATAAAACTTACTAAGAGCTAAAATGCTTTAAATGTTAACATGAAAATGCCCAAGAAAAGTTGCAGATGCTTTTGTATCTTTTAAAAATTAAGACAGCTGAGTGTTCAGGAATATGACCACTAAAACCCATAAGAGAACTTAATCACATTTTTTGTTACATTTCAAGAAATATTTTAATGCTTCATAATACAAAACCCTATTATATAAGACATTAGAGACACCAAAAGAAGGAAGAAAGAGCAGTCATTCTCTTCTGCCAGGGAAGAGTCTCATAATTCCTCTTGTGATTAGAACGTCTCATTACCTATGATCCCTCACCTTGGCAGTTAGTGATTCAATAATTGTAACACACAGTTGCAAAGGAAATGTTTCTTACACTTCACATTTAATAAGCAATGATGATATGGATTGTCTTAAATACAGTACCTACATTGACAATGAAGTGGCGGTAATGTTTTAAAAAATTGCAAAGTAGGACCTATTTCTAAGTCATTCACTTATAAATTATTTACTATTCTTTTGGCCATATATCTTGCTTAGAGTGGCCCCCTTCCCACTAACAAGTATTTGAGGAATATGAGTGTATTTTCTAATGCATACACAGACTAATAGAAATAAACGTGGCATGCAGTCTAATCAAAATATAACTGGCAATCAGGAATATAAAGCTATTCTTATTGGAGGAGAGATCCCTAAAACATGTTTTGGTATTTAAGATTAGTATCAACTATGCTCCAAGTTTAAAAGCAACACACACACAAACACACATGTGCACTGTGGTTTGTTTGTTTTTTTATAATGGTTTGATCACAACTTAAATCAGACAAATCATAATAGCAAACAAAATTCCAACTGCTTCTTCCTTTCTCTTGGAAACAATATGATAGGTAGGAGGGAAAGAACAGCATCCACACTAGCTATGAAAATATGTGCAATCAAACTTCAAAACTCATGGCTTGAGGGATATGGGGAGAGCTACTCCTGGCATGGTATCAGCAAATATTAGTGGATTAAAAAGTTAACAGGAATCTTGGCCAGAGTGTATTTGGTGTAAAGGGAACAAACGTATGGATATTTTTAACAGAAATCTTGTTAAGTGTGCAACACATAAGGCAATTACTTAAATGTGTGGAAATCGAATCAGAATTTCTTCTGTTGTTCACAGGAAGAGGTCAGTATGGGGATAGCTCTCCAGTTACATTAACATTTTCTAAAATCAAATTTAAGAATCTCTAATAAGTACAATCTCCAAGTGACACTTAGGGAGAAGGCATCGAAAAGGCAAGATTTCCTTTTTCTTGGGGGGAGAAGGAAGGATTTGAAATAAGTTTTGCCAAGTAGGCCAATCTATTGCAAGGAAAAAACTTGAAGCAAAATAAGAGACAAGGTGGCAAAGAGTACCAAGGAATAAAAATAGGACGCAAAGGTGGTGGCGGGGTGTTGAGAGGAAGAATGCCCCTAAAAAATCAGGATGCTGTAAGTTGTGAGAGATGACAAGTGGGAGGGAACAGAAAATTAGTAAGGCACAGACGCGAAAAAAGTGAAGCAATGGTCAGGGAATAACAGTCAGGCCAAAAAAAGGTCGGGGATAAGGAGGGACGAGAGGGGGTGGCCAGAGACCTGCAGAAGAGACTCCAACTGAGCTGGCCCGCCGCCCGCAGAGTCTGCAGGTTTGACAGCCGCCGGGCCCTTGGCAGGGGGGACGGAAGAGAGGGGAGCGGGAGCGGCGGCGCCCAGACAATAGGCCGGCGAGTGGCGGGGAGGGGGGCGGGCGGGGAGCGGGCTGGAGAGCTACACCAGCGCGGGGGCGTCCCGGGCGGCTCGGCGGGGGCCAGGCAGCCTACAGGCCCTGCCGCCGCCTCTTACCGACTCGGCCTCCTCTCCGCACAGCAGCCGGGCCGTCCGGGGCTGAGCCGGGGCACCAGCAGGGCGGCCAGCCCTGGCCTCCGCCTCCGCCTCCACCCAGGCAATGCCGGGGAGGGAGCAGGAGCGGAGCGAGCTGGGGCCGCAGCGCCGGGTCGGCCCTAAATTGCGCGGGAGGGAGCTGGGTCCGAGCTCTCAAACCCGCTCGGGGTCCTCTGCCATCGCCTCTGCCTCCTCAGCCGCCGCCACTACCGCCGCCGGTCAGCCCTTGATGCGACGCCCGGCCCGGCGACGTCAGCCGCCCGCGACGAGCCGGAAGCCGGCCTGGCAGGGTCACGTGACTCGCGAAGGTTTGGCTCGGGCTGCGCAACTGATTGGAGGGCTGCCCTGGAAGGCGGGGCTTTGCGCCAGTTGGCTGAGGGCTAGAGGGAGGGGCTAGGGATCGCTAGGGGAAGAATAAGGACCGTCAGCTTACTTTGGCAGTTGCGAAGTGTTTGACTTTTGAACGATGAGGTTGAAGGCCATTGATTATTATTGTTGAATACGTGCTAAGCCGTTCCCCAAAACCCATCTCCCCAGGACCCTGGGCAAACTTTTCTAAATGCACTACACATTTTCTTGGATGTCCATACTGTTCCAAATTAAGAGCAGCGCAGTAGCTGCTGTTACATCTCTTGGATGGATGTTTATGGCAAACACTCTACCATAAATATATCACATGACAATCACAATGCACAACGGCACTGCTCTCTACAGTTTAGGAAATCTTTACAATCCAAAATATTGTAAATATCACTAACGTGTGTGTGTGTGAACAGATGCGGAGCCTATTGACTACCTTGAAACGACTTCCGCAAGAGACTCCACAACTAATGACAGCAGAACTACTTTTATAGCGTAACTAACATGTCCCAAAGTCTACCAAGAGATAGCGTCACTGCCATGGGGAGAACCTACAAGTGATAACAATCAGAATAATAGTAAGATGAAACATCTATTTTTTGTTTCTTTACACGGTACCTCTCTGGCTCCCAAGTTTTTAAGTGTATCATTGCATACTTATATTTATCTCGCTTCATAGTGTGGAGTTAAAATAGCAAAGTAGCTCTCTTCAAGCTTCAATTACAGTGGGATTTGGTAAATTAAGCAACCATATTCATAGTCATCCTTTTATTCATAAGACTTTCATTCAGCACCTACCACGTTGCTAATAGCTACTGAGCTACACTGAGCATAGTGATACATAGAAAAGATATAAATAAGGCAGTCTCTAGCTGATGTTTGTCTTCTTGTTTTTGGTTGCCCGACATCTGTACTACTTTTGATGCTTGAGAAACTTCTGCAATGGTTGACAGTAATTCAGTGCACCAAGTATTTCTAGAATCTTTCTTTGGGCACAAGTGGAGTATAGTTTCCACCGTCTGTAGTATTATGTGTGTCATTCGATTTGCTGTAAAATGAAAATAGAAGTGAATTTCATCATACTCATCTGGTAATGTAAGAAGTCAGTTCACCAAACTCTCGGTGCTTTGCACTGTGAATAGCAATGCTTGACATAATAGCTACTCTAAACCCATAAATCCTGGATTATGATGATCCAGGAACCATTGATCATCCATAACTAATATGCACTTAAGGAAAAAATAAGTACTTATTGTTTAAAATATTTATTTATTGGGAATTATTTGTTAAACAGCATAATCTTACCCAAACTAACTGATCCACCCTGTTACCAATCTTGGAGACAGAGCCATCCTATCACTAAATAAGATGAAATTATCAGAAACTCATGTTCTAAGTCTTCCTCCAAGATAATGTGCCAAATTCAGCAATGCTAATTAAACTTAATACTGAGGACTCTGTATCCAAAATTGCTAATGATGTTCAAAGTAAGGAAAATTCTCTCCAATATCAGTGGTAATACCAGCATCAAGTTTCTGACTTTCAACCTAGAGCTAAATCTTACTGAAGCCTAGCAGAACTCCTATTTACTCATAATTTTTGTTAAAAAATAATTGCATACCATGAAATTTTGAGGATGTTTGTAATTTCATAAAACATAAATACACAGGTTATATCTATTGTGCACTATCTGTAGAGAATCTTACATAAATAAATGGCTTGACTGGATGGTGTAGGCAAGTGGTTCTCCATGGTGTTAATGCCATCCCCTAAAGCACATGTTGGAAATGGGGAGTGTGTACCATTTTTTGTTATATTATTACAGTAGGACACTATTACTGTTTAGTGAGGAGAGACCAGGGCTGCTAGACATCCTGAAATGCACAGTGCAATCCCATACTTTGAAGATTTGTCACAGATCATGTACAACTTTTGAATGTGTCTCCAAACATTCATATAGATGAAAACCCTGTTTATAATTATCTACCCAAGAACCGAGTTTCACATGTAAGCCCAAATATTTTTGCAAGGTTTTAATGTATATTCAATTTTTCAAAAATGAAGTAACCATGTAATATAAGGGAAGAGCATTCTTTCTTCTGAACATTGCCAAGAGTTGATCCTATCTTAAAAGATCATGTCATCAATAGCTAAGCTACTCAGAGTATCTAAGGCACTTCTCAGATGCACTCATATGGGCCATCCTACTACTTCATTATATCTCTTGGTGAGTCATAGTTGAACATTATATAGTGAAAATATTTTATTATACATTATTTCCATTACATTTGTACTTTATATTATCATTATGTCATATTGATATTTTAAAAATGTGTGTAGTTTGTTTTCTATGAATTTGATTTCAGGAAAGTGGACAAGATGTTACATAATGTTTACTCTGAAAAAAGAGCATTGGGACTGATAAAACTAAGAAAAACATAATGCAGGCTCTCATTCCTTCTTTTACTACAGTCAGAGTTCAGGATCCTGGCTGGGGTACAGGGTCAAGAGAGACTAGGATGACTCCCCAGCTATGGAGCAGAGGTATGTATGGCTGTGTCCGCTCTTCTGTTTTTCACCCAATACACCCTCTCCAGATGGCTGATGCTAGCCATCAGTCACTCCATCTCCAAATATAGAAAGAAAGAACTTACAGCTGTGTTTGAGCAGAACCAAACAAGTCGTGGGCAAATTATCTTGAGACAACAGTTGTTAGGCAGAAATCACTGATCTAAATTTCCTCCAACATTAAAAATGTGAATATGAAACCATAATAC